CTCGAGCCCCCTCGACCGCAGGCCAGCCGCGGCCTCGTCGAGATCCCCCTCGGCCAGCGCCCCCAGCGTGAGGGATCTGAAGAAGCGCTTCGATCAGAACGGCGGACCCAACTCCATCCCAAGAGCTCCTCCGCGCCAGCCTGCACCGGTAGCCCGGGTCAGCAAGCAAGATTCCAGCAAGCCCAAGCCCAAGCCCAAGCCCAGCCTGTCGGGCCCTTCGTCCACGCACCCAAGCTCTCGCCCGGCGGTCCCCGCTTCGAAGCAATCTCGGTCCTCGTCGTCCAACTCAGCCTCGACCTCCAAGTCGACCTCGACCCCGACCCCGTCAGCCCGCTCGCAAAAGTCGCGGCAGGTTGAGCGCGAGCAGGCGGCGGGAAGTTCGCGGTCGTTTGCAAACCGCATTGGGAATCATCAGCCTGAGACATCCACTAACGGGAACTCAACCGCCTCCAGCTCTATGACACCACGCCCACACAATTCCCCACCCTCAGCCTCCCAGCCGTCGCCGCCATCTCCAAAGTCTAATCCCCAGTTCCCGGGCCTTCTGTTTGGCGAAATTCCCCCGGGCCAGCACGACGGTGTCGCTCCAGGCTTTGGCATCGACAACATCCGCCCGCGACGAACGTCCGAATCCAACGTGCACGGCCTCGTGGGGCGTCAACGCAGCCTCTCCGACCTCGAAGCCGAGCCCGCGTCCCCGTCCAGCTGGTACAGGGACCTCCACATGTCCCGAGGGAGCACGCCGAAAACCCACGCGCGATCTCGTAGCGATCTCTCGGCGCTGAAGCCCATCCTGACCACCCTCAGACCCAAATCGCCTGCGCCTCCTGCATCGACCTCGGCATCGACTACAAAAGCAAAGGCAAAATCACCAACGGTAGCTGCTATTGCGGCAGCCACGGTAACGGCCACGGCTGTCGCAGCAGAGGCCGCCGCCGCCGCCCCTGCGCCGCCGCACGCGTCGTCAGCAGCTCCCAGCTCGAAACTACCAGTTTCCATCAGCCGGAGGCTTGCGAGCCCTTCCAACTCCAGTCCCACCTCGTCGCGATCGAACTCGCCCTCTACGCTTCGGAGACCGCCGGCCAATGGTCGCAGCAGCAGCAGACAGGCCAACCCAATCGCCTCCACGACTCGAGCGAAAACGCCCACGCAGACGGCTCGAAAACAGCCTCCCCAGGGGCTTGTGACACCGAGTAATAGCAACAACCGGCTCCAAGCGTACGTGTCCACCGCGCCGCCCAAGCTTTCACCGCCATTAAGGAGCTCTCGACCACGACAGCCAGTCTCCGTAGCGACAACAGCAAGCTCCCGGATGAAGGAGGCGGCGGCCAAGGCGAAGCCCCCTGCACGGCCAAATGCACGGGACGCCCCTTCTTCGTCGAAGGCGTACGATCCGGCGAAGCGTAAGATCATAGTTGGACCTATAGATTTCGAACAGCGTCGAGAACACATCCGACTGGCATACACCAAGACCATTCGCGAAAGCCAGGCCTTTGAGGTGCGCCAAAGAGCGGTGGAGAGGAGGCGGAAGCAGATGGAGGAGGCCGACACGAAAGCCGCGGCCACCGAGTCTACAGATACAAATAATACAGCTACCGGTCCATCTACATCTACGGATTCACCGACCACGGTGATTGCTGGAGACGACGAGGCGACGAATAAGGGGGCCCCGGACGGCCGTGCACGAGGAGTAATTCCAGAGGTAATAGCGGCAGAGACAGGGCTGGCCGAAAGCCCCTCGGCGAAAGAGCCGGCTCAGGTGGAACTCCCAGCTGATCATGGCTCTCGCGCTGCTGTGGAGAACCAGGAAACCCTTCTAGAAGTCCCGACAAATGCAGCCTCGCTCCCGGCAACTAGCAAGGGTGATGATTCGCCGACGCTGGGCATCCCCGGGGGCTTCCCTGAGCCCTCACCGTCCTCCACCGCAGCCAGACAGCAGAGGCCTCTGTCGACCATTTCAATCATCTCAGCCACGTCTGCTGTTACGGAGTTTGATACAGAGCCCCAGGCGGAGCTTGCCGACCTGGCTATGTCCGATCGGCCGCTCAGCCCCCAGATCATAGTGCCGACGAGGGAGCGCTCTCAGTACCGCAGCCCCTTTGAGGACGACGACTTTCCATCATCGCCTCCTCGGCCGCGTCCTGCGGCCCATCAAATCAGTCAAGATCGCCACCACATCGACCAGCCGCTCATCCCTGACGCTTATTACGACAATGAGCATCGGGAGGACTCCTTTGAGCCCCATGCCCAGCAAGATTACCAAACCATTGTGACGATTCTCCCGCAGCCCTCACGCGAGCCCCCTGCTGCCGAAGAGACTGCGCAGGTGGCGTCTTTTCCCCGACTGGACATTCAAGATGAATCTGACTGCCACTCGGATCTAGAAAGCGTTCCGGCAATGGCTCGTCGCATGCGTAGTGATATCGACGATGCCGCCACTGATGCCTGCACCGAAGAGACAGACGATCGCGATGGAATGGATGGTGAGCGATCCCCGTACCGCTACGGCGGCACTATCTCGTCGAACAGGGCCTCGACATGTGCATCATCGGACATAGAAACGTTTGACGACCTCTTGTACCCTTCGCATGACGAGCAGCAGGATGCGGGCCCACCAAACAGACTACTGGCGCCGCCTTCCATCTCTCGGGCCGACAGATCAAGCCACCAGTCCGCATGGACGAATGTCTCCGTCGATAGCATTGCACGCTCCGAGGCTTCGGACTCTCCAGTTCTGCGAGCGAACTCGTGGAAAATGTCTGGTTCGTCCGGGCGTGACGACTCTTCCCTCAGAAGCCTCCCCTATAGCGGAGTCGGCGTTCGCCCTTCTGTCGACTCGACGCGGTCGTCGATCCAGCTTGGCCAGCAACTTCCGGAGCTTGACACCGGCGAAGGCTTCTCCATCCCTTACCTCTCTGCAGAGGCAACCTCTGACTTTTCCTATCTCTCCTCCCCGAAACACGAGCCACAACCTCACTCGCGCTCTGGACGGAACTCGGCCATCGACTCGCAAACGTCAAGTGTGTTTTATGACCAGTCTCAATATGGCAGCACCTTGGTCAACTCTGATCGCGGCAGTGGAGAATATGTCTCCCACCACTCGGAAACGCCTCTGTCGATGATGGATATGACGTCGATGGAGACTATGGATCGGTACTTTGATGGACGCCCCCAGGTGGACAGCGATGCCAAGTCATTCATCCAGGAATCCGAGGGCTTGAGCAGCGAAGAGCGTCATCGCCTGATCCAGAGGCGCAATGTTATCAAGGAGCTCGTTGACACCGAAGCAATCTTTGTAAGAGATATGAACATTGTGGAGGAGATTTACAAGGGGACCGCAGAAGCGTGCCCTAAGCTGGATGCCAAGATTGTCAAGCTCATTTTCAGAAACAGCGACGAGATCATTGAGTTCCATACCTCATTCCTCGTCCTGCTCAAAGAGGCGGTGGCCAGCATTTACGTACCGAAAGGCGGCCGGTCTCTCGTCGCGAGGGAAGACTCGGTCTACTCGGACCAAAGCCAGACTTCCATCGTGGACCTGAGCGATGCCAAGGACCGGGAGACGTCGCTTGGCCCAACGTTCCAAGCCAACATGGAGAAGATGAAGCTGGCCCACGAGGGCTTCCTGAGAAACAGCGACCAAGCGGCAAAGAAACTGATCCAGATCCAGCAGGACCCGACGGTTCAGATATGGCTGAACGAGTGTAACGAGGTAGCCAAGGACCTGACGGCTGCTTGGGACCTGGATTCCCTCCTCATCAAACCGATGCAGCGAATCACAAAGTATCCGAACCTGATCATGACGCTCCTTCAGCACACACCCCAGGATCACCCCGATCGGGAAGCCCTCGTGGTGGCCAAAGACGCCCTAGAAGAGGCTATTATCGAGATCAACAAGACGAAGAAGAACTTTGAGCTGGTCGGACAGATCGTCGGTAGAAAACGTAAGGAGTCCGACGTGAAGGCTGGACTGGCTCGTGCCTTTGGCAAGAAGGTGGACAAGCTGCAAGGCGGGACGCGGCCGCCGGAGGATCCCGAGTATCTCAAGCTGGAGGAAAGATTCAGCGACGATTATCTGCGGCTACAGGTTGTCTTGCGGGACGTCGAGTTCTATACCAGGCAGGTTTCATCGTATGTGCACGAGTTCTTGCAATACCTATCAGCCATCGAGCTGGTCATGCGCCTCCAACCTGGCAGCTTCCCCGAGCTCGAGAGCAAGTGGGTGCGGTTCAATATCTCGATCCGCGACATTGAGAAGGTAGCGCTCGAGCAGCATGTAGGTTTTCCACTCCCTCTTGGTCTTGCATGTATTCCGCGAGAGATATCACTGACATTGTATTGCACCAGCTGTCACAAATTCGAAAGCATGTCATTGAGCCTTTCGAGCAGGTCATCAAGTCTTACGGGAACCCCTCGTTGGCTATGAAGAAGAGACAGAAGCGCCGAGTCGTGTGGGAGCGCGCAGAGCAGCTGAAGAAGGCCGGCAAGAGCGTCGACCCCAAGCTTAAGGAGCTTGTTGAGCAGTATGAGGCTCTCAACGATACGCTAATCAAGGAGCTTCCCAAGCTTTCGGCACTGACGGAGAAGGTGGGAAACATCTGCCTTGGCAACCTCATCAACATCCAGGCCAACTGGTACTTTATCTGGAGGGAAAAGATGAGGGCCGTGCTGCCGGACTCGCCCGTGATGCCCGAAATAGAGGAAATCGTGGCAACTTTCCAGAGAGATTTCCCCTATGCAAACGAGATGATGGCCAGCATCAGCATCATCAACCCGGCCTACCGCGGAAGGACATCGCAATCGACGAACCACGGAGACGACGCCAGCCTGCCCAGAACTAGGGGCCGAACCTCCGAGTCAGTGGATAGAGGATGGAGCCAATCTTTCAACGGCGAAGGAGCGCCAAGTTTACCGCCTCCCGACTTTGGCAAACGGCATAGCGGCTCGTTTACGCTCTCCCCCATCAGCGCAGGCCCGTCCTCTGGCTTCGGGACATCAGCTCCCAGTCCTCACCAGTACTACTACCGAGACTTTTATGCCGGCCTGTCAAGCAACCAGGCGGGAATGACATCCCCCAGATCGGCCGAGGTGCCGGCAACCTCTCGATCGCTCGGAGGCACGCGGCCGAGTACGGGCAAAAGCTACGACTCTTCCGCAGTCTCAATGCCTAGACAGAGCACGGAGTCGGCACCTCACATCCGACGAGACTCGGGCAACGCGTACTATTCCAGCTACCACCAGCACGACAGCCGTAGATTCTCGAATCTATTCCACTCTGCCCTCCCTCTGCCGGACGGCCCCGAGGAAAGTCAGCGGTCTTCTAGAGCATCGTCGCGCGAGCGAGCGCATGCTTCTGACGGATACAATATCCTATGGCTGGCGGCGTCGCTCTTTGAGTTTAACATCTCGACAACCAAGCACGAGGCCGGCTATCCTTATCTGACGTATCAGGCCGGCGAGGTATGTTTTCCAATATCCCACAACGCACCGTCGACAGCGAAACCAGATATGCTAATCAAGAGGACTTGACAGATATTTGACGTGATTGCCGAGAAAGGCGAGCTTTGGCTTGCAAAGAACCAAGACGACCCCACGGACCAGGTGGGCTGGATCTGGTCCAAACATTTTGCCAAATTGGCCGACTCATAGAAGAAGGCGTAACTGAGATCTTTTGACCACGGCGTTGGGGCGAGGCAGAAAAAACAACCCAAACGAAGCGACAAATTTTGCCTTTTTTTCATTTTACACTATTACAGTCATGGAAACCGGGATCGCATCGAGGAGATGCACGTGTACACAATAACCAGGGCATCGAGGAGGGACAGGCAAGCAGCCAGGCGTTTCTATTCTTTTTCATGTATTCCCGTCCTCTTTTCGTTTTATTTTGTTTCACGAAGCCCTTTGTCTTACGTACTCTTCTTGTCTCTTTCTCATGATTGCATCCCGTTGTCTTGCATTTCAAGACGTACGACAGCTGCAGGCTTGATGCTCAGCTCGGCGCTGTTCGCGTGCCAACTTGTCTTGCAAGCTCTCGGGTTCTCCTGCGATGAAGCTTGTGCCAGAGGATGCATTGTTTGGAAGAAGACTTCGACTGTGGCTCTTTCAGCAGGCGAGATTTTAGTTATTCTGTTGTCATTTTTTGGCCGTCGATTTGTCTTGTCGGATTTACAAGGCGTTGGGCAACGAGGCCCGGTGTAAGGCGTGAGAGAGAGCAAGCGGCTTAATGGAAGAGATGCGACATCTGTAGGGGTTGAACATGTCCTACCATATCAAAGCAGGAAGTAGACAGATCTGAGCCGAAAGATACCATGACATGATTTTATTTTCTATGGAAATGAAGGCTTGGTAGTGATTGCTTGTAGAACATGACGACGTGCTTTGACCGGTTGGCAGCTGGCGAAGGAGAGCATACGAAAATATAAAAGTGTTTACAAATACTTGCCAGTCTGCAGAGGTGAGCCAGAAGCAGAGCAGGACGAGACTGAAAGACTTGAGACTTGAAACTCGATTGGATCTGTGTCACGAGGCTTTCCCAGAAGAGGGAGGGGGAGAAATTGGTGCAAATACGAGGAAAGCTGTGAGACCGCCAAGGCATTTTGCAGTCTAGAACGAGAGATTGTGAGAGCGAAACTCGGTCCTGGGGTCTGGGGGCCTGTCTCACAGGGGGAAGGTCCCTAATAATAGGTGCTGTAGCGTCAAGGGAACATGGGGGTTGGGTTAGAAAAGGACGCGACAGAGTAATACGAGTACGGAGCAGATAATAAGCGGGAGATTGACGACCCCCCTTTAACGCTCAGGCACGCAGAGTGTGAGATTGGGTGAGTGAGAAGAGGGAACAAAGGGGAAGAAGACACGAAACAGCATACAACACAAAACACCAAGAAAATTGAGAGGGGTTTGAGTTGACGATAGCAATGTCTTTATAGCGAATGCCATTTTCACGAGGGATTTTTATTTGTAAAGCGAGAGTTATTCTGATTTCCAATTGGTGGTGAAAAGGGGATCATAGAGAAGAGGTCAGAGTAGCAGAGGGAAAGAGTCGCCCGCAATGGCGGCTTCCTTGGTCGGACGGGCGTCGATTCGGGGAGGTTCGGAGACGGTGCAGATGGTGCTCTTGACGTTTTGCACGATTGGGATTACGTGAGTCTTTTCTCTCTCTCTCTCTTTCTTCTACATCTTCTTTTCTCGCCATTCTGTATCAAGAGGACGGGATGAAGGCACCTGGGGATGAGAGATGATCAAATGCGCTCTGGTTGCTGACGCGTCTTTTGACAGGTTTACATGGGGCATTGAAATGACGTGTGAGTTTGTCCCCTCAAGCCTTCAGTTGAGATCAATTGATGTGATTCAGTGGTCTCAGCCATCATGGCGATGACGTCCAGGCGAGGGCACAACCAACACCAGCTAACTCGCAACAGACTGCACGCCCTACCTCCTCAACCTGGGCCTCACCAAGAGCAACACCTCCCTCGTCTGGATCGCCGGCCCGCTGTCCGGCCTCATCGTGCAGCCCATCGTCGGCGTCGTCGCGGACGAGAGCACGTCGCGCTGGGGTCGCCGCCGCCCGCTGATGCTGGTCGGCGCCGTCATCGTGTCGGCGAGCCTGCTGGTGCTGGGCTTCACGCGCGAGATCGTGGCGGCGCTGGGCGGCGGCGATGGCAAGGATGCCGCGACGATGAGGGCGACGATTGTGCTGGCTGTGGCGGCGATTTACGCGGTGGACTTTGCCATCAACGCGAGTATGTCTTGTGTTCCAAACTGCTTGGGGTTTTCAAGAGGATTCTGGCTGACTTGTGATACTGCTGCTCGGTTCCAGTCATGTCGTGCGCGAGGAGTCTTGTCGTTGATACGCTGCCTATCGAGAAGCAGCAGACGGGAGCCGCTTGGGGTGAGTAGCTGACAAGACCGATCCTCTCCCTATGCGATATCCGACTGACGCCTCCTCTCCTTTTCCTTTCCCTTTCTCAGGCAGCCGGATGAATGCCATCGGCCACATGATCGGATACGGCGCCGGGTCCATTGACCTCGTCCGCCTCCTGGGCCCCGGCTTCGGCGACACGCAGTTCAAGCAGCTGACCGTCATCGCCGCCATGGCCATCCTCGGCACCACGGCGGTGACGTGCTGGGCCGTGACGGAGCGTGTCCTGGTGGCCAGCAAGGGCCCGACCAAGAAGCACAGCGACGACAGCCCCTTCAGCGTCCTGCGCCAGATCCGCTCCACGCTCATGACGCTGCCGCCTCGCGTCCAGGCCATCTGCTGGGCCCAGTTCTGGTCCTGGATCGGCTGGTTCCCCTTTCTCTTCTACAGCACCACCTGGGTAGGCGAGACGTACTTTCGCTATGACCTCCCGCCCGGCGCCGCAAAGTCGGCGGACACGCTGGGAGACATTGGACGCATTGGCAGTGCGGCCCTGATGCTGTACTCGACCGTCAGCTTCGTCGGTGCCTTTTTGCTGCCCATGGTGATTCGTTCGCCTGCTGATGACAGCTACACGCACCGTCCGCCGCGGGCCATGGCCGGCTTCCTCGAGAAGCTCAACAGCGCCAAGCCCGACCTGCTGACGGCCTGGATCTGTGGCCACCTGATGTTTTCAGCATCCATGTTTCTGGCTCCCCTGGCGAGGAGCTTTGTATCGGCCACGTTTCTCATGTGTCTTTGCGGCATGTAAGTCAATCTTTGGAACCAGACTCTTTTGAAGGACACACATATACTTGCACAAATCTCGGCGGGACATATGCTTATCTTCTCTCTTGCAGACCATGGGCCATCGCCATGTGGGCACCGACAGCCTTCCTCGGCATCGAAGTCAACAAGCTCAGCGGCGCACAGGATCCCTCTGTCCTCCCTTCATCGCGTCAATCCTCCCGACCATCGTCTTCGTCATCTTCGTCGTCATCGGGTGAGCTGTCGGGCATCTACTTTGGCATCCTCAACATCTATACTACGCTGCCGCAATTCCTCGGCACCTTCATCTCCACCATCGTCTTTGCGCTGCTCGAGCCCGGCAAGAGCCCCGAGCTGCACGATGCCACCGAGGAGGTTGCCGGCGGCAAGGAGGGCACCAACGCTATTGCGGTGTGTCTGTTCATTGGCGCCCTTAGCACGCTGATTGCAGCTCGGATGACGCACAAGCTGCGGAAGTTGTCATGAGGAAGTCGTTGTACACCTTTGCGTCACTTAGTCTGTGTGTTTTCCACAGTCTAGGCAACAAAAGGATGAAAGCGTGGGAGGCCGTGAGATTTGGTTTTAGTGTTTGGAAGCGTGGAGACAGGGTGATGCGAATGTACTTGTTTTCTGGAGATATCCTGTTGTTTATAGCCCGGTGTTTCTGTTTCCTATTTACCTTTGAAAATTCGGAGCATAGAGTATAGAGCTTAGAGAGATATCGGTCACGAATGATATGGGAAGCAATTTGGCTGCAGAAGCTCATTGTAATGACCATGACTTGGACATTCGAGGCAGCTCGTCGAGCAAAGTCAGATGCCAGATTCACGTTGATCCACCATCGCGACGAGCTGTATGGTATGTACACAACGACGTGGCTTCTTGGGGTAAATACACAGAGGAAGATGCACACGCCCAGGAGACTCCTTCTACACTACCTGACACACCGAGGGCAAAAGCCTGCAATGATATCTCTCGACGGCCCACGAAACCCCCATCACCGACCCATACTACCCATCCTCGTACAGAATCACTTCTCCTTCTCCCTCTCGTTCTCAGACACCCGCTCCCACTCGTCCTCGGTACTCACGCTCGACATGCTCTCCGCCAACGACCGCTGCTTCAGCTCCCCCCTCGCCTCCACAGGCTCAGCATCATCCGCCTTGGCCGCCGCCGCAGCGCTCGCGCCCTTCTTGTTCCTCGCACTCGTCCTCCTCGCCGGCACCCTCCCCTCGACCTCCGTATCGCTCGACCCAGAAGCAGAAGAAGAGCCGTCTCCCGCCGCAGCAGCCGCCAACGAAGCCGGCACGCCCAACTTGTGCTTCCTCTGCTGCTGCTTCTCTTCCTCCTGCGCCTGGGCGACGCGGAGCTCCCGCGCGAACCAGTTGACGGACCACCAGAGCCCGCCGCAGAGCACGGACAAGACGACAAAGTGCACGCTGTAGGTGGCGGCGAGGAGGGACAGGAGGACGAGCTGGAGGGCGGCGAAGGTGATGTTTGTGGCCTTGAGGATGGTGGGGGTCGGGCCGGGGGTGAAGATGCCTTCCCAGAGCTCGACGAAGAAGGACGACATTTTTTTGGGGGCCTTTTGTGTCTTGCTGAGCTTTCGTTTTCGGCTTGAGGTTGGTTTGTGTTGGTTTATTCTGGGTGTTTTGTTTGGTTCTGCTACTTGGGTGTTTTTGTTTTGGGGTTTGGTGCTTTGGAGAGGGATGGTGTTATGACGTCGGGAGAAGCTCGGTGTTTTTGGGTTGGATTCTCGCGCTTTGTGGTCGTTGTCGTACTGATGTCTTCGTCTTCGTCTTCGTCTTCGTCGTATTTATCCGTCTGCAATCGGTATCTCGATAGAAGTTGAAAAAAAGGGGAAGCGTAAAATCGAAGAGACAAGACCAAGGGAAGACGGGTCGTTCCAAGCTCGAAGCCCAATATAAATAGGGCAGCCAAGCCAAGCCAAAACAAAACAACACCTTTCAAGCCCAACCTAACAAAACAACGAGAAAAGGAAAAAAAAGTAGAAAAAGATGCCAGCTGGTCCGCTTCAGTATTCCGGCATCTGGCCACGTTTCTCAATCTCAGTTCTCTCTGCTGTCCGTATTTTTAGGCTTCCCTCTTGCGATCAAAGCAAAAGCTGAGAAGCTGTCCAGGAAGAAAAGCCGGCAAGCTTAGGCGCCTGAGGGGCAAACATTGCGGAAACTCGACGCCTTTAGCCTCCTTTTTGCCCAACCAGCTTCCCCCGCATTTCGTGTCATCGCCAAAAAGGCGCTGTCATCACTTGACTTTAACCACGGCTTCCAACTATAGTATAACAAACTTATTATCTATCTACCAAACACCGCTGAGGGTAAAGAAGAGGGCAATCATCGTCATCACACAAGTTCAAAAGCCCGCATCTCACGTGCCAAAAGAAAGAAAACATCCAAACCCCATGCCACTGCTACATATAAAGAGAGGGGGACACAAGGAGACAAGGGGGAAAAGCCAACGAGATAAATCTGCAATGACGTATGGTGAAGGTACATAGCTGCCTAGAAAACAACATGCGATGCAAAGCAACGAGTCACAAAGAATCAAGACATTTTCATCTACGAAGAAAAAAAGTGACAGCGCCAGGCTGCCAACTTGGGTCTATGAATTTTTACCCTGCCTCTTTTCTGCCTGGACTGCTGCTGTGTCACCGCATAGCCTCCCCCCCCCCCCCCCCAAATATATTGCATGTCCTCTCGTGGCCATGTCCTGGATTTAACCCCTTCCCCTCAGTTTACGCACAGTCAACTCACATACACGCAACAAGCCTTTCACGAGCGAAAAACAAAAAAGCAAGCACATTACTCTAAACCTTAACAGAATGGCCAAAAGAAAACGAACGACTGAATGAAAGGAAGATAAAGGAGAAAATGAAATGCCATAAGAAAAAACGCAAAAATAAACTGCCCACTATCAGAGTCGAACTGATCACCTTGTCATGTCAAGTAGTTTACTAGTGACACGCTATACCGCTTAGCCAAGCGGGCTTTAGGAGTTGTTGGGTTTTGACAACTTTAGTACTATATACCAAACACGCACATTGTCCTCATGGTTCGACAACTGTGCTGTCGTGCACCATTTCGCGTTCCTTTATTGTTCATACAGCATCAGTGACTTTTCAGGCCAAACATTCTCAAAAAGACAAGCTGACATTGTAATACAGTACCAAACACAACCAAAGCCGCGTCAAAAGGACCAACCGCAGAATGAAAAATCGGGGCTCCCAAAGAGCCTCATTACAAACCCGCCTCGGATCGGATATACAAACCGGACCAACTTCAAGTCCATTCGCATTTGTAACTTGTTCCAATTTGTAAGACGACTTCTCATTAGTAAAGCATCTCATCAATCAAGCCTCGCAATCGCAATCGAAAAGACCTCCCTGATAGATTGTAGATGGGGGGAAAAAGTGGGAGATGTATGGTAATACTTCTCCGCTTCTGATCGCAATGGCAAATGAGCGAGAGCCCCCTCTCCTGTCACATGTCTGCCGCTTATTCTTCAAGACTATATGATTCTTCACACTCTTTGCGGCTCACCGACGCTGCCTCGAAAGAGCGACGTAACATGCAATCATCCTCACCTTTTCGGTGTCAGCCAATTGTTGCGCACCCCTTTCGCAATTGCCCATGAGAAAGGTGGGGTGAGTCGAACAAAGATACAAAACAGAGACAGAGACGACGTAAGAGGAGAGACCTTTCCCCCGTCTGACCAATGGCAACACAACAGAGAAACAAATGATGCACAAAAGATCATAGAGGCAACGTACTCAGTCCGAAAGCCCTGCAAGGGAGAAACAGACCACTTCTTTTCATCTTCTCCAGCAGCGTGCCCTCCCCCGATGTGACCCGTTCATCAATGCAAGAGGGGGTTTTGTCTTATCTATCGACCGCTCTTGTGACTCGCAAGACGGGCTCTCCCCATACAGAAATGTCGGGGTTTTCGAATGGAGTCGTTCAAGGCTGTGCCAAGCGAAACACGGGCCAAGGGTCGGATCAGAGTTGCCTCACTTCCAGCAGCAAGGCGCCCCTGCTCGGCCCAGCTATATGTTAGCACTTCATAGCTGTAGTTGTACTCCGTGCAACTGATTTTCGTTTAAGGGCGTAGACAATTGGAGTCAAGGAGATGGAAATGCTGGACGCTTTTGCATTCGGCCCTTTGACAAATCGCATCTCGGCCACAGGCGTCAAGGATACTACTGCTACCGCTTGCTCTCTGATACTATCTCCTTCGTCATGGTCTCTCCGCAAACTCCGGCTATAGCCTTGCGCCGAACTGTTAGCTGTTAGCAGTTGTCTGCTGTTCGCACACGCGTGAACGTACGTCGCCGTTTCGTAATCGTCTCCTCTCTCCTGGCTGCAAAGTCCAGGCCCCCAACGTTGTGTGAGTCTTCAGAAACTCGGCCATTTCCTCTTTGGGACGAGCACGAAAACGACGCAGAAGCTTCGTGCCACCCGAGAGCCAGAGCCCGTCTAGCTGCATACAGATAGAGGCAGACGTCTGTGGCGTCCAGGCTCTGCCGCGATCTGAATATTCATCTAAGCGTAAGCCTCGCTTTCTGCACTCACCTCGCTCCGCAGGGCCAAAGATCAGCGCCTGATAGCTGCACGCCCTGCCTCGTGGATCCCCGAAGTCCCTGTCTCCCCTGTCTCAGACCCTTTCTTCTCATCCCCACACATCAACTCGCACATCAACTGGTACTCGTACTTCGTCCTTGTACCTGTAAGCTGCAGAAGCCCTGTTTTCTTCTGTGTTAATTGTGTGCTTTCTTCGTACGAAATCGTCCCCATTCCGCGCCGGTTTGCACATTAAGCTCACCGTTGCGTCCTTGCTGAGTCACTAGATGCTTGTTTCGCAATGCCTCCTCGACAGATCGTACAAGTAACGTTGAGTTTGCGGTCTTTGCCAGACGCCTGAGCACAACCAATGCTCCTAGCCCGGATTCGCGGCAAGTGGCCGTCTCCCGCAAGCCTCGTTGGATCCGCCCTTGCTAAGGCCCAAAGACTAATCGCGATTGTGGGGGACTGCCATCTTCGCGGTAAGGCTATCCAAGCGACGATGGGAATCCTCCCCCCAGACCATCTGAACTGAATCGTGACACCAATTGCCTAGGATGCCAAGTTCCGAGTAGGATGCGATAGCTCGTTCACAGCCACGTGGCTGGAGAGCATTAATGGAGAGCAAAGTTGACGAGCAAAGCAGAAGTTTCTTTTGGCCTACTCCTAAAATAGAGAGGCCGCGTTCTTCGGGGTGGATATGGACTTACCTTGCTCCATGCGTTACAGCGCTTCCGCAGGGGGAGTCATTCGAGCTTTCGAATCTTTCGTTATCCTCGGTAGTGGAGTTGCTTACTCCAGTCGAGGGGGGCCCCCTCTGTCGCCCACATTCCCGAGCCACTACGCAGAGTGTGTGTAGTTGCAGTACGTACTTCTGGAAGCGATTCCGTTCGATGATGGTCGATAAAGGTATGACGTTGCTACCTACGTTCAAAGGGATGATGTGCGATCTGGGTTTGTCAGAAACAAGTCTTGCACTAGCCTCTGATCATCGACAGAGGCGCGTGTAAGCGCCATCTCGTCCAGCGCAGCACAGCTCGCAGGTAGGCGAAGCAATGCAGCCATGCGTAATTGCCCTTGCTTGTCCTCCATAGGAAGAACAAAGCCGGGACGCCAAGGGGGGAAAGCGGCACGGGATCACAGGAGACATGGGGGCTCCTTGAGGTTTCGTCGACTGAAGAAGAGCCATCGAGCCAAAGCCCAGCAAGTGGCGGCGTCCGATGGCAGAAAACTGGCGCCATCAAGCTGGCCGCGGCGAGGCAGAATCTTGCTCGCCGCCGGGACTTGGAACTGGCTTCTTCGTCCTTCATCTGACAGTGCATCGGAGCGGCAGCTCCTGGTCTGACGCCGGGAAAGATGCGATACCCGCCTCGAGCAGGATGAGGAGGTGGGCCGCTGGCGTTTACCCGTCCACTCATCAAGGCTTGAAGTAGGCGGTAGCTTGCGGTTGCACCAACCCTTCAGTCGTCTGTGTCATGATAGTAGTAATAGCTGGCACGCGAGCCTACTAGGACGAAGCGACACCCACCGGCGCCGCCTCTAAGCCATCTGGTCCCCGGCCCGAAAAGAGGACTTGGAGTAGCTGGACCTGTCCAGCCTCGACAGCCCTCATTGGTCCTGACTGCCAGCGATCAGTTGGCCGCAAGGCTTGTGGCGGCGCGACGCCTTTGCTGTCAGAGAAGAGCGGCGCATGGCGCTGTCCCCAGAAACCCGGTTGATGAGTCCCCCCGCTGCTCCGGATCCCGCGGTCTAACCGGGCATCTCATACGATGGCATCAGTTGCTCGGTGGGGGCCGCGCTCCGAAGTCCGGGTGGGTTTAGTTACTTCGGCCGGCGGCTGCCCATCTTTACGCGGAGTCTGCTTCATCTTCCCCATGATTCCACAATATAAAGGGGGCAGAATGGGACTGGAACGGCCCAAATCTGCTACCGATGAGCCCTGTTCGTTTTGCGTCCTGACAAATGGCAAACACTGAGTTGCTCCGGCCTGAATGCCATACGAACAGGGCAAGCTGTTCTCCTCTTGTTAGCGTGGATGCTTAGGCCGCTTTTCGGGGAAATGCCAGAAAGGAAAAACGGATGGGTAGCTTCCTAGCAAAGGATAGGGCTTAGAGAAGCGCGGCATGCCTTGGTGTACGGGGAGCATCCGATGCTCCTCTGATCAAGCCCAAGTGCCAATTCTTCCTTGAATGTTCCCATAAGTATCCAGCGTTAGGAAGACGTGTATCCGGGCAATACAGAGGGGCACTCGCAATCTTCATCAATGCTCGAACGCCCCTACTGAACAGCCACGAATAAGTCGGACTTTGGCGTAGATCCGCGGTGGTATGCTTGTTTGATAGACCGGTGGCCCAAACTCCGGAAAAGACTCGCTCCGCCATGTCCACCGGCACCGAGTAGTAGATAGTAAGCATTCAACCGCGTCCGAGCTCAATCTCGTTGCGGAGAATTGCGAGTATCGCCGCCCAATCCCTGCCACTGTGCCCTACCAATTGACGAAATGGACCAGGCATTACAAATGCGTTTCCGTCGCTGCTCTCGTTGATGAACCTTGTCCCGTCCCTTACCAAGTCAATGATTCGAAAAGCGAAGTGACAAGTAATGTCGGCGCCTGTATGGCCAGAGTTACGAACGAATCCCGAGCAGCCAGGAGCTGGCTAGCGCTAGTTGATCCTTACCTTGCCTCAGTCGACTATCTTCGAGCAGCTGTCTAACCTTGTTTCGTATAGAGGCATGCCATTTTGGTCGACATGCAGGGAGCAGTCATGGTGTGACAGCGACAGCCGGCCTATTCCCCTTCCCTCCGCGACCAGGATGCAAGCCGGACCAGGGCCTGGAGAGTCCACGAGATGATGTTGCATGTTGGCACGTTCTCGAGAAGCATGCGAGGGCGTGCTTGGAGGAGAAAAGGGGGGTGTATGTTGAGTCATCGCCTGGTCGGGGTCCCCCTAGTCGTCGATCAAAGTTGGATAACCCCATTGGCCTCACCCAGTTGCCACTCCCTCGACCCCGAACATAAGGTACTTCTCATGGCCTGGAAGGTAAAATGGCACCAAGCATGCCGAGTCTGAAGTATCTTATGAAGTACCGCCTGACCCAGTCGATATGTATGTGCGGGTGTGTTCTGCAAGCCAATTTAGCTGTGGATCTGTTGTCAAATCGCCTTTTGCTGCATGTCCGACGCGGGCTGGCTGATACATGCATGCAGTTGTCGACACTCCTTGTTCACGAATGCCTCTTCTTTCGCAAGATCTAGTCTTGGTGCTGCGGTCATTGGCCGAGAAAAATGTCGCAAATATCGCAAATATTCAGCCTGCGCAACTGCGTCTTTCTTCTCTCTCTCTCTGCAACCCCCCTGTAGCCTAATGCGGCTACGCAATTGAATGATCGCCGTTGCCGTCTGGTCATCCGAGTAATTGGGTAGAGGCGATGCTTGGAACAAAGCCTTGAAGATCCCGGGATTTCAAACTCCATAATCGCGTCCGTGTCCGTGTCGGAGAGCGGCGGGCACGCATTACCCTGTCCTCGGGACCGAAGGAAAACGTGGTTCTCAACAAACCCCACACCAGACAGCAGAATGAAACACAGTGCCAGCCGTTCTTATTCCAACGTCCATGGAACAAAGTTATGCGAGAACGCATTGGCCGACATGAAGCCCAAGAGTAAGACCAAGGATGAGGGGGGAAAACCCATTCGTTGAGGCGAATGCAACCCCAGAGTATCAATCTGATTCGACCCTTGATCAAGACTGTATCTTGGTAGGTCACAAAGCATGCTATTCTTACCTGTTAGCAGTAGGCGCCCCTTTGCGGAGTGGAGCTTGCGTAGCGACACAGGAGCCCAGAAGTGGACTAGAAACGATCCCAGGTGACGCTATCTCCGCATGGAGCCATCACAATGGTGTAGAGGCTCAGTCCGATGGAAGGGGTTGTTGTTTGATAATGTTGACAACCCCTCTAGCATGGTCAAAGGATGCTATTGCAGTTGCTAGGTTGTCCTAAATATGGAGAACAGCAAGGCCAAGATGGGATTATAGCGCGAGATCCACGAGTATACCCGGCAGTGCTGGCAGGGGATGCAATGAGACGGCGGCAACCATGGCAGCAATTACACGAGTGCCTGTAAACGTATTATGGATCCTTCGTCTTTGCAAGGTGATATTCGCGGCTCGTGCTTGCTTAGAAGAGTGGCTCATGGCTCTGTTGTGAGCCAGGATGGGCCATCTCAAGGCTGGCAGCAGTAACACAGATGCACAAGCTGACCTCATTTCATCGCTTGAGCTCGACAAGAGAAGGGGCCAGCCGCGGAGCCGGTTGCGACGGCGAACGAAGATCCAAGATTGACGCTGGCCTGCTCTGCCAAGCTGGTTATGACGCCGTACGCAATAAGGATAGCGGACTAGAGCATGACCTGTTGTCAATTTGCCACAACTCGCGGCTCGCTGAGGCAAGTTGCTTAGACCGGAATACTGCCTGCACATACATTGCCTAAAGGCGTAGATCATAAGCACGGAATTTGCCTTCTCCAAGCTGTAGTGACCAGTTCTTCAACGCCATGAGGCATTCTTGAGCAGACGCAGGTCACGGTTCGCTCCACGGCTCTCTGACTGAGCCGTGGAGGAGCCAGGTCCTAGCCGCTGAAGGAATGGTCCAAAGGGGAGGGATAACGAATCCATATCGATCTTGCCAATTCCTGTCGTCATCTAGCGCCGGCACCTTGCTGGTCCCAGATAACTCGCGAACTGCTCGGGGAAGAGAGAGGCGAAGAGGAGTCCAGGGGCAGCCGGGACGTTTACCGCCTTGGTACAAAAAATGGACCGGTTTGTACTAGCATTTGGCAAGCATCCAGACCTCAGTAGTTGTATCAAAACATCAAAGCATAAATTGGGGGCCGTAGGGGACTGGCGGGACTGGCTGGCGCTCCAGTGGAAGGGGGGGCCCCGATGATGGGGCGGAGGCGTGCGTGTCAAGAAGGGGTCATCCGATGCCACGATGTCATCTTCCGATTGGGGGCCATGCAAAGAAGCCAGTCATCGGTCGAGAGCCGTTGATCAGAGGGCTGTGGCTGGCACCGCTGTTTGCCAATGATCTTTTGTCGTGGCCTGGGGCTAGCCTGAGGCGGGGAGCAGCGCCAGTGTGCGGTGTCCCGACTCGACTGGGTTGAATAGACGCCGACCTCGTCTTGCGACGCAGGGCTGAGGGTGGCCGTGGCAGCGGGAGTGCTGCCAGAATCCCTCGCGATCGAGGCGTGTGATTGGCGCTGGACCTGCGCGACCTGCACCCGCAGGCAGAGCTGAAGACACCTGAGGCTGCGTTGTGCTTCGAATCGGCGGCAGTGGTCGCCGAGAGGCCGGCCGACCAACGAAGGGGCATTTTTAGAAGGGCAGAGCCACGAGGGGCGTGCCGGCGTGCTGGCACTGGGTCGTTTCGCATAGATGGCCCAGGCGAGAGGCTGCAGAAACAGCCTGAGCCAGCACCCGGCGTCTGGCGTTGGTGTCTGGTGAGGTTGTGCTCTGGTAACCGGTAACGCTGTTGGAGGTGGTGACAGTGCATCTCAGTTAGCAGCTCGCCTAACAGCCCACTAGCCCTGACTCACCAGATGCAGACAAGGAGCGATCGACCAGAACGGCAAGTACAAGATACCTGGGACCGCGCTTCATCTTGCCCAAAAGGGAAAGACAACGTACTCGGGTACCTTTTCGTGCTCGTGGATCGTTGGTTGGCCGCCAGCCAAAGAACCTGGCCGTGATCCGATTTGGGCAGTGTCCGAAGCACGTTCATGTAAGTACAGTAGGTTAGACTATGTGCTCCGGCAGTCGTGCTGTTTATTTGGCGCGTCAGTCAGGATAAGAAGCCGATCCAATGCGGAAGAACGGTCGCTGACAGTCAACAACCAGCTGCACCGCGTCTGTTTGGCGGGTTGAGCGCTTGCGCTGGTCGGTATGTTATAATTGGCCTGGCATACAAAGTCCCTTACGGCTGTTTGTAACCGTACATGTACTGTACTCTGGCTGTAGTGCCGAGAGCGTGCATTCCCTACATGTACCAGCGCTGGGCTGAGTACGAGGCTTGCCAGGTCCAGGATTGCGGAGATTCAAAATTGGAGGCTGCAGGTCTGGTTCTTGATGAGGCCTGGGACTTTGGTACCTGGCGTATCCCCTCTTGGTCGGTTGTCCGCGTAAAAGCAGTAGCATCGCCACAATGATTTGCTTCATGTTCTGAAATATAAGGTAGCTTCCGAAAAACGGACTGCCTTACCTACCAGGTATCAGAGTACATACACCGACGAGGTGCTATCAAGTCCTTCTCATCTACCACATTACTTACCTACCTACTTGAGATATGTGGATGAATAAACTGCAAGACAGCCAGCATCGTAGATGTCTCACGTTTTGGCAGGATTCAGCCCGTTGGACATGGCTGTTTCTAGAAGCGGTGCGTCCCGAAGCCATCGCTTCCATTTCCAGTGGGCGCAGCGGCAAGTTGAGACACACAGCGGGTGTACTGCGTACCTTGCAGCGCCTCCCTCGATCCGCCAAATGGCAGGTACACTGGTACTTGGCCCATCTGCCGACACCAACTCTTGACGTGCTGCCTCAGGTTCGAGTGCTCGCGCCTCGCCCAAATCTCAGAGAATCGAGGGGCTCGGCTACGATAGCTTTCTTTTCCCCTCAACCCCTGCTTTTCAGGTCGTCCCACACGCAGCCAGCACTGTGCAGCAGACCCAAAGAGTACGGAGTACCGATGCTACCATGCTACAGATAAGGTATACATGTACGAAGTACGAGCTACCTTGCTCTGTCGGGACCTGCTGTACGACGAGAACGATCAATGCTACCTGCAACTGTATTGTCCTCTCTCCACGCGGGCCCCTGTCCTTATTTCTATCCGTCTGACCCTACGCAACCAGCAATTGCCTACAACTCTGAGTCGAGGTCGAACTGTGCGTATGTAGCTCCAAATTGGGGGAGTGGTGGCAGAGACCTAGATAGAGGCAAAGCCCCTACCTGCGTAAGTACGAGTATGAACGCACCATCTGCGAACGCCCCCTACATCTCGTGTATGTACGAAGCACAGCTAACCTGCCTCTATTCCGCACCTACATAGCATCATGGCGCAGGGTGTTGGCACACCAGAGCAGGGTTGCGCTCGTGGATATCGGCCATCCAATATTGCGCTTGACACGGGAATGCTTACTGCCACTAGCATTACAACCACTAATTTGCACAGCACCCCCAAACTGCACAGATCTCACGCAGGGGATTCAGCCAGAGGTTACTTCCATGGACGAGTATGCATCCTTTTCAATGAAAATCCGGTTGGTAATTCTGGAATTGTTCTTGGCTACCTACCTACCTTATGCTTCGTACGCGCACATGTTGCTTACTCGGTGCCGCAGAGATGGCCAAATACCCGGGGAGCGACCGGTACATGTAGGACTACGACGTCGGGCAGGCAACTTTCATCCGGCTTACCTACTTGCACGAAGCACAGATGCGGCCCAATGCCATTTAGAGTGTTCTCTGAATGATCTGCCGATCCCAACCCGAGCAGATATGCTCCGTAACAAGCTCCATAGCTTGTACCTGTCTTTGGCGGCTTGGGCAACATGGGGTGGCCAGCCCGCGATTTCCTACTACCTGGCAGGATAGATCCGTGTCTGGGTCTGAGGTGCCCAGGCTAAGCACACTCTGCCGACTGGATTCGCAGCTGGAGTTGTAGCAAGCTGGATTAGGACCAGACTTGCCCTTTCCGCCCGGTAATGGCCGTGCACACTGTTATCATGTACTCGTACGAGCTGGGAAATGGGTGCTCTGTATCTACATGCGACACACACTCCCGAGCATTTCCGCCCTGTCTGCGGCTGCGCCTGTGCTCGTGCTTGTGCTTGTGCCGGTGCTTGATTGTGCTTCTACAGAGCCTCGCATGTGTTATTCGTACGTATTGAACACTGCTGTGACTACTACAACTACACTATCCAAGCACTCCTCTCATGCTAACCCTTCAGGCTTGCATTAGCATTTTGCGCAGCGGCTATGTAGAGCATCGCCAACAGTTGCCGTCCAGCTGCTCGGGCTCCATGAGTGCGCTCGGCTCCGCCCAGCTCGAGTTGCCTATCGCTCGTCTACATGTACTTGAGCTCTAGCCCAGAGCCCAGTATCGCGACAAGTACCCAGAGCTCACTCACGGCTCCCGTGCGTCTGGGTTGCTAGCCTGCCCATGTCGCCCCCCAACTCCAACTCCAACCCCAACTCATGGCTCAATGCCTGCACCTGCATTTGCGTATCGCCTTTTTTGTGGTTTTTTGTGGGCTACCAGGAGAAAATGCGTTTACCTGTCGGCCGACGAAGACGAGTCGCATCTCACAGGCTTAGTATCTGTACTGACGGAGTCATACTACAGTATATCTTTCCTCGGTGCAAGCTCAGGCAAAACAGCTCGAAACGGTTTCCCCCTAGAGAAGAGAAGAGACGACAAGAGCAGAGAGAGACGATGCCTAACCACCTCTATCTGGCCCCAATTTTCATTCGAAGGCGCTTATGATGGCACAAGCATCGCGAGCTTGTTTCCAATCAGGTACCGCGCAGGCATCTGGTAGGGCAGGCCTTGTGAGCCTAGCTTTGAAGATGCCACAACGGCGCCGCCAAGCCGTCCGTCAGCATCCACACACCCAATTTTCTTCATCAACTAGAACTGCAGATGAGCTTGACCCCACGCCGGTTCCAGAGAAACAAGGCTCTCCTATTGTCACGGCTCCCCTGGCTACGCGTACGCCTCGCCTTCCCGAAGACTGACGCTTGCGCTCAAGCTTGCATGCAATTTATGAGGGACTCCAAGCCCCCTCTAGGCCGGGCGTGTGAAGCATGCAACTAGGCAGTATGCTCTTACGAAAGCGACCTAACGCGGCTTTGGCAGTATGCAGAATCTGCAGCTTATACGCCGAATCGCAGTTGTACTTGCAGAGACCCTCAATGAACAAGCCGAATAAAGCGTGCTTCGTACGCGTGAGACAGCAAAGCTAAAGGCCGAACATGAGGTCGCTTGCGCGCAGCAGCTCTACTGTATTGCACCATGATCTGCTGTTGAGCCACTGTGTCCACTTCCTAAGCTGCATCGGCCGAATGTTGTACTACCATTGATCAGATGCCTTTTCTCACCTTTTCCTGTTCGGATTCAAGAGCCAGCTCGTCAGGATGAAGTAGGTACAGGCGGGTACTGCCATTATAGTGACCCAGGGAACAGCAAGGCCCTTCGTTCTCTGTACCTTTCGAGCTCATCCCGCCTTTGTCTCGAGACCCCTGCCGCGTCCCGGTTATTGCATATCGCATACCGCGCAATGTGCCCTACGGCCGACTCCCCTCATGCTTGCCCTGCCTGGTCCGAGCTCGTCCACGCACAACTCCAAGACCCTGCAAGGCATGGCGCCGGGATGCTCACAGCCTCCGCACACCCCCCATGCCGGGGCTCGTCTGGCTGCACGCCTCTCCTGCCTCTCACCCCTCGACAGCCAGCTGCTCTGTATGTACATACTACTCGTACCTTGCGTGGTTCTTCGACAATCCTGGCAAGCAACACGCCTTGGAGCTAGTCCGCTCGCTCAGCCATGGAGAGCCCTCAATCTCATCCGTCTAGATGGGCTGCCAGGCCACACACCCCTCTCCCCTTCTTCGTCATGCACCTTTGCGAGCTCGACAGTACGAGTATCTCCACCTCTTTGCCATGGCGCTTTGTTCTTATAAGCCGCCGTCTGGTCCTTGCTAGAACCATCATCCATCGACCGAGCCTCAGATCGTTCTTTCAGATAGAGACTTCTTCAAGGAGCCTTCGACCTCTTTCTAAACCACCTACAGCACAGTCAGCCTGTGTGCAAGACACGACGCGGTATCCATAAGCTGCCGAATAGAAGCACCAGCTCGCTTGACCTCGTTCTTCTACTTCCTTCCTTCACTTGGCCGATTCCAGTCCTGCTTCTCGTGACCGCAACTGACTCCTGAGTCTTTCTCGACCGTTATATTCCTTCGCAAGCCCCGTTCCTCAGGGCTTCTACTACCTTTTCTTCGACCATTGTCGCCTTCTCGCCCGCCAGTGTCCCTGAAAATACCAGTCTTCGTCATTGAGCGGCTCGCCCTTGGTCGGAGCACTTACAACGAGATTCGCAGCTCAACAAAGCGCCGGCCTTCAGAGCCTTCTCCCATTTCGATTATTGGGGGAGTCATCATAGTCTCGTGCTTCCCACCCCCGAATCTGCGTGTTACAGCCCACGCCACCACAGCCTGCTGCTTATGCAAAGGCACGGAAGCTGCTTCAGCCTTACTCTGTCTCACTTGACCTCGTTACTTTATAAAAGCAGACCAATTCTCAGCTCGGCCTCTACTTCTTCCCACCTCCATCCAACTACCTGACGATCTTCCCCGAAATATCAGTTAGAGTTGCCCCCACTGGAGGCATCTGAACCCGAGGTTTCAACTTCCACCTCTTCTACCAGCATGAGGTTAGCAGCCTGCACTTCAATACGTCGTTGAGTCACGCCTGACCAAGCTGTTCTAGTGCCGTTGCCATCCCCTACGAGATGAGCGCCATCAGGTCAAGGTCACCACTCTGGCCACGTACGTGGACCCCTATGATTGCTTGGCTTGGAGATTGAGGCCATATTGACATGCTGGTATAGATTCTACTCACCAAGACATGTTTGAGTCCGTCAACACACCATCCAGCATGGTAGGGCCCGATTTTGCATCGATCCTCCACCCGGTGTCGGAACCCAGTGTCTCCCCTCAGAGTGTTCCGAGGACGCTCCACGCAAGCACTCCCAAGAGCGTGCTCACCGCCGAGCACCGAGTCCTCAAGAAGCAAAGGGAGAAAGTTCGCCGTGACTCGAAAGTCCACACGCGAGTGCAACGAGCCACCGACACCAATGACAACCCGTTCATGCAGGCGTCTCTGTCCGCCATCACTAGCACCATGGCCCTCCCCGTCTACGCGACATCTGCGCCGACCACCATGTCGCTACTCAGCGAGCCAGCTCCGACACTCAGCGAGCCACAATACCTCCCCCCTTACAGCCCCCATATGTCAGAGCCAGCATTTACTACTCAATACCAGCAGCATTTGTAAGTGATGATGCACATATTCCTTTCGTCTTAGCGGTTACTGATGGCTGGCATGTGCAGGCCATCAAACTACTCCATGTCCATGGATTACCAGCCCACCTATGCCACTGCCGGTTCATATAGGTACGTCTCCCACATTAGCGACACTGGTTACGTGCGAGCCAGAAAAACTCACAAGGGCATAGCATCCCTCACGCTCCCATCCCGGGACAAGACGGCGGCATGGTGTACCGCATCCCTGCCATGCATCCAAACGGCGGAGCATCGTCTGCCACAAGCACTGGCACTGGCAGCCCAGATAGCACCGGTCACGTTCGTGTGGTGCAGAACCGGCCAAAGCCACGATGCTGGGAGCATGGGTGCAACGGACGGCAGTTCTCGACCTTTAGCAACCTCCTCCGGCACCAGCGAGAGAAGTCTGGCCAAGCAGCCAAAGCCACTTGCCCCAACTGTGGCGCGGAATTTACCAGAACCACGGCGCGCAACGGACACCTTATGCACGACAAGTGCAAGCAGCGTCGGAACACCTGAGCAAGGCGTTTCCGAAGTCTCGCACTGAGTTGTGATTCATTCGCTTTCACCTACGAGGAGGGAGGCGATGCACAATCGCCTCCTGTATTGCGGACTCTCACTGAGCTTTTGATGAGCTCGTTAGTGGGAATTCTGGTGTCATAGCGATGATTCGCGGACATATCGTTGGTGACGGGGTTCGACATGACACGGAGTGGCGAGGCATCGTCTGCTCCTTGCCTGTCTTCACTTCTCTCTCTTTTATATTTTTTACGATGGATGGCTTTTGTATAATATGGTGATATATCCCCTTTCACTTATGTCGTTGGTATAACTAGGGTGTTTTTGGATTGGATGGATAATGAATTATGGGCAAAGCGTTGGGCAAAACCTTGGGACAAGTGATACCAGGGTGCAAGAGGGACGGGACCGGTTGGTCAAGTTTTAGAGCACACAAACGACTACTAGAGATTCATAGACGACGAGATGGAATTGTTCGCTCCGTTGCGGAAGAATTACTGAGTTAGGTCGGGACTGGGGTTTACGAATCCAGCCTAGATACTAGTATAGTCATTCACCTTTCTTTACTTTCTTCACCTAATCGTTCCATGCCTTGTCTTGCCCCTTGGAGAGGCGAAGCCATTCCCGCCATCGGTAGTGCGAAGGCTTTTAGGAGCACTCGTTAATCTACATCAGGGGGGCGGATTCCTACGTGGCTGCTGTCAAGCTGATCCTGATCTAGATGGATCATTAAGAGTTCAGCCTACGTACTTGGCTACGGCGTTATGTACTAGATAGGTTGCAATTGAGGGTAAATAATGAAAGGCGAGGACACGAGAGGCACTGCATGTCTACCTCAGTAGGTAGACAGAAACGTCTAGGTAGGCCCCATGATGCTTGTCTTTAGCATACGAATTGCTTGTTCGATGGGATAGCTCTCGGAATCGGAATCCGGTTTCCGTTTCGAGACTGCGTAGACTATTCCGTACCAACTTCCGTCCCCTTTCTTACCGTAACTTGAGCCTATAGCAGAAAAGTTGCAGGGTCCAGAGCTCACTGGCCCTCAAAATAAGTCTTCAACTCCATTCAACGCATCGTGGGGCCACAAAGCGGGCTGGGCAGGGCGGTACTTCATCTCCAGCCCGCAGATGGCTGAGTGAAATAGGTACCCGTGGGCGTAGGTGGGCGTACCTACCAGGTGGGCGTCTGTGCATTGCATGAGGGTTACCCTTGTACCTGAGGCCTAGTAGCGCCAGTTTTCTGCTCGCAAGCATGTACCGGCCTACCCAGGACGAGACAAAAAATAGACGGGATCAAAGGATGACAAGGGGAATACAAGGACGGGGGAAAGGGAAGAGGCGTGGGCGAGGATCCAAGTGTTCCCACTCGCTCTAAGGAGATCCTTGGACACGTTATTGTACGATAGGGCCAGCCAGTGATCGACAGTCGGTAGGCAGGCTGGAGCAGAGCGCCCACAGGGCATATTCGAGACCTGAAGACCTGGAGTCTGGCGGAGGTGCTACAAGTCAGCCTCGTTGTAAATAGCAGCTTTTGGGGTGCTACCTACCTAGTACCTACCCAGCAGTAGGCACGTTAGGTTACACCAGGAACGACAAAGAAGACGGGTGTGCTTTTCTAGAACTCGCCGTCAAAGTCCTATGCAGCTTGATCGATGGCGCCGCGTTTGGCAAAGCCCGTGCTTATCGGACTGAAAGGAGACACTTACAACTCGGAGCAGGACTATACAATCTGGATAGGGAGCCCTGGTAAACTCGGAATTATGACCAATTCGAAACCACCAAGTCAGCGTGGAGCACGGCAATTGAACATCCATGCTGCAGCTCAAGCTCGAGGCACGTTCTGCCGGCACGTTTTGGTCGAGCTTGGCCCTCGGGCTGCCAGAACGGAAGAAAGGTAGAGCTTCGCGGCACAGTCAGTGTCTGACAGTGCAGTGCGCTGCATATCTCTCATTACGGGCGGGACAACATGAAACGTCCTAGCCAGCTGTTCGGTGCGTGACGTGCATTCGTCACAGGGTGAGAACAAGCGGATTCGGGGGCTGAAAGCTGCCCAGGGAGAAGAGGCAAGTGGGAGAACCTTGGTAATACTAGTACGAGTACCTGTCTGTCTTATTCACCTCGTCCCAGAGTGGCTGAATCGCTGGAGGCGGCATGTCATGTTTACCTGCTGTGTCTGTGTGTTTGTCATTTGATGTGGAAAGGGGCGGCAATGGGTGGTCCATAAGAGGCGGGCTGAGCTTGGACGAGGTACAAGTACGCCGCTCTGCAGAAGATTGCTGATTCTCCAGTTCGTTGGCGAGTCACAAGAAGACGAGGAAGAGACGAGTGTAGAGAACCTTAAGTCAAGGTAAGTTGGGCGTAGGCAGTTGACAGCTCCAGTGCTAGGACTTGCTCGCGTTTTGCAAGAAACGTCAGAAAGGCTCTTGGGGAGAAGACGGTCTGGTGGGAGGACTTGGGAGGGGTGTCAAACGGCAGGTGCCCGAGAAGACTAAGGCAGAAGAAGGGCTAGCAAGAGCATCCCTGTCGCCCTTGGGGGTACAGGGCACAAGCACCTTGTTGCGGTGGGACGAGCATGTGCTCTTGATGAAGAGCCACGCCCCCGGAGCTGAATATGCAGATAGCCCGACTGAATATCGCAGTACCAGCATGAGGCCCCGCGTAAGTGAATGAACGATGCTACTCCGCACCACAGCCCTGTAGGGCTCCACACCCAAATGCTCCCCTGCTCGTTACCTGTATCGCGTACCTCCAAGTCCGACCTTGAGAGTGGTGATGCTTGTACAACAAGTACCTGCTAACGCTCGCTCGCAGACACTTTCTTCACGAGCGCACAGATGCTGCATCGTGCCTGTACAGTACGAGACGAAACGCCATCTGAAAGGCATGCAAGATCACCTCCCCATGTGAGGCGCCAGGAGCTGGCGTGTCGCTCTGCTCGTTTGCTGCTACCCAAGGCAACCTCACACCTACGCACAGCAATGCAGAATCAGCACCAGCACCAGCACCAGCACCGGCAGAGCAGCAGACGGCATGGTGGACCGACGGACGGCCCTGGCTGATGCGCATCCCATTCCAAATTGCTGGTCTTCTCCTCTGGCCGGCCAACCAGCCCGGCCCAGAACAAGGGTGCCTGCCTCGACGGGACAGGCTCTGCGTCAGATGTGCCGAGACAATGGAGAGGAAAGGCGACGACGGCCGGCCGGCTGCGAGGCAAGCCGAAGGGGAGAAAAGATGGCGACCCGGGCGTTATGTATCCCTGGTACGAAGTACTGACCGGCCCTTGAACACACCCGCGGCTCCTGCTGGGGAAGACACCTTGGGGTTTGTTCCTCGTTCCTGTTCTTGTTTCCTTCTTTTCCCCATGGATTATACCCCCACCCTCAAGAACCCCCCTCCCCCTCCACCTTTTTGGCAAAGAGCATCCCGCACATTTAGCTGCATACAAGTGCGAGCTCGTACAGGTTTATTCGGGCATCATGCTACGAGGGCGCTCTAACGACCCAGCAACCATTAGAACTCGTTCAGCAGCGACGACGAATACTGCACTGAGTGCCTCGCCCAAGCTCGCCCCTCCCTTTGCCCGTGCAGATAGGACCTACATGAGCGTTTTCCAAGCGCTTTGGGGGCCGTTGATGATTCTGAGGCGGGTCCGATACTGCAGGCGGACGTGTGGCTTACAAGCACTTGGGCTTGCATGCCAGTACCTAGCCAATGGTCATGGTCAAGAGACAACCCTGGAATAGCCGCCTCGAGCAGAGCACGTTTTCGACACAGTTTGTCAAGACTGAGTTCGACAACGACCGTTGAGATACAGATGCTCCAAAACACACAAAGCGGTACTGTCAGCACTCGCTATCACTCTTACTTGTACTCCCACGTCGCCGGAGACAAAAAAGCGCGAGGAGCGAAGGCCAGATGAGAGTGCTGACGGGAACGCCACTGGTCCCGCAATCAAGGCCAGCAGCGACAGGCATCCGAACCCAACATTTAAAATTACCTAGCGTTCCAGGGCTCGAGCTCCCTCCTGGGATATTGGGCCTTTGGGTCAACCTGGCTCGACCCGGGGGCCCTCGACCCCCCTACAGCTCTCTAGTCGACCATGCCGGGGGATGCGCAATCAGGCACTACGGCTGTCGCTGGCCTTGTCGCGCGACTGGGGCTGCCGTTGGTGGCTTCAAGCTGGAGCGCGAACCACGAGCCACGAGCCGCGAGCCGTGAGATGAGTGCTGTCACTAAACTCTTGTACTGGTGCGTGCACCAGGTACCAGCCTCCCGAGGCATGTCTGTACCAGCAAGGACGTACGGAGTACCTACGCTACTTCTCAACCTCGCACGGGACAGCACAGCGAAGCCCTGACCTGACCTGGCCTATCCCTGCTTGCCACTGCTACACAACAGCCGTCATGGGCTTCGGAGGCACTTTTGGACAAGGTCAGTACCGCTGTGCCGCTTGCACAGGGTATGTCTCTGGTCTCTGAGGCTTGGAAGGGGGCGCTCACTGCCACCAGAGAGCAGCTAGCGATGGGCGGCTCCCCGGCCCCGAGTGACTCCTTGTCTCCGGCCGATCGTCTGCCGAAACTGTCCCGAAAACCGGATGGTATCAGGTCGACATCCCGAGTGCGCGAAGTGGTCGTACAGGTATAATCCGTGTGCGAGTACGAGGCATTGCTGGGTATGCTGCTGCGCTAGCGTAGGGAGAACGGCGAGCTTTCCTCGCATATCTCGCATCGGTACTTCATACTTCGATACTTCGGACGAGAGAGTTGCCACAGCATACCTATCTACCGAAGGGGGTAGGTTGTTGCTGGAAACAGTAGCAACCCAGTGGTGCCCCAAAAGGATTTCTCTTCCATTTCCTTTCCCTGTGTTTCGCTTCTTCTTATCGTAAACAAGGTAAGCGACTTGCCGTGCTCTCACCCCCTTTGTCATTCTCTCTAACTCTTACAAGACTAGAATACCGCATGCATAGTCGCTGTACTCGGTACGAAGTCCATAACTGCA